CTGAAATCCATCCACTAGAATCTCTACTTTGAAAGAGAAGCCAATTTCCTTTCTCTCATAAACACATAACATTTTTTTCTTTCTTCTTTGAATTGTTTCAGATCATGGTTGTCATTTAGCTACATCGTTTAGCTAATTTAGAGGATGTTCGCCAAATGATTCTGGCTAATTCTTCGCTACTTCTGAGTTTATGTTCAGCTCAAGTCATATGTAACACGCTGACGAATATTTCAGCACTCTCTTTGGTGTACTTACTGTTTGGCTAACATTCTACCAACAACCTCTGTATTATGTTTTGCTAACCCTAACTCTATTTCTGTTACTAGGCTAGTCCTGGACTTCCTGGTGGTTAATATTTCCCTAGGACAGTTTCTCATTCTAAATGAGTTTAGTGTCATTTGACAGACATGTTCTAAAGAACATTAATTTTCTGGGTCTGTAACTTTGACACAGCTCAGATCTTTATCATAGTCTGGTCCATTGCTGCTGTAGCGATTTTACGTTCCCCGCCGTATTGACGGTAGAACATGCTTTCATGGTTGATGTGTGATTTAGTGTCTGTTGTGCAAAGCCCTGGGTGTTAATCTCATGCTTGTTAATGAATGGAGAGCGTGTTTTTGCCACACTGCCTTTGGTCACATGCACTTACGCACATGTGCACATTTGCTCATATGCATATGCAGAAACACATAAACACAGCTTCAGCTCAGTGAAGCAGCGTTGCTGAAATGAGGCCATTGCGGTGATGCACACACACATTGACAACACTGACCAGGGTGAATTAGATTATATTATTCTGTTGTCTATTAGGATTTGGAGCAACGTTTTTAATAGCGTGCTGTCACAATTTTCTTTTCTTTTTTATTTAATAGTCTCAAGGTTGCCTTAGCTATTTGTGATTTACCTGCCTTTTAGCCATTTTATTTTATATATATATATATATATGGTGGTTGGATATAGTGATTTTTAGGAAGTACTCTTTCAGTGACTTTTTGGGTTTTTTTTGCCATTTGTTGACTTATTGTAGCATTTTCTGAATAACTTTGGCTTCCATTTTTTGTTGAGGATAAATGTGGCTAACATTTAGCAGTTTATGGGCTAATATTAATTATTTATTTAAACAGGTAATTTAAGCATATTGTGTTCAGTAATTGTGATTTTTGCCAATTTTGGCCAGACTTAAGCTGTTTCTAATCTAACCTATCATTACTTTTACTCTCATGTTAATTGTAGTGACACATTTAAATTAGCTTAGCTCATACAATAGAATAGCTAAAGATTATTTATTTGGAACAGATGTAAAATGAAGAGTTCACAAATGAACTCCATATTATCAACATTGTATTCATGACATTTACTACAAATGTACAAACATTGTGTACGTTAAATGTTTATTTTTATTAACTCCAAAACCTCACACACATCGAAATAAAACAATAAATTACATAAAAAAGACCACACTGCCAATTCAATGTGTACGTTTCTCAATATTTAGTATATGAGAGACGACCCCTATACATGTATAACACAGAACTCATATATAGTATGGATGATGCGTAATGTGGACAATTCATACGCAACTCCATTTTCCTCATCTCAGTTACACAACAGTTTACACAAGACACTGTCAGCACTTGACACAGCCACACTTACACCTACACAACCCCCACACTTGCTCTCCACGCACGGACACACAAACGCACACACACTTCTCGTACCTCTCATATCTGCCAGTCTGCCCCCTCGGGTCAACACTGCCCCCTGCATCAAGTCGCCTCTTCTAGTGTCCTTTTTGGACTCCAGCCTCCATCATCGACGGGGGATCCGTTAGCCGTCAGTGGCGCGTCAGATATGTCGAACACCTGAGAGAGTGTGTCACCTGTGTGGACTAGAGTGGTCAGAGATTACGGCAGCAGTAGCAGGAAGCTCGGTTGCCCTCAGGTGGTTTGTTACCCAGCAGGCGATTCTTTTTGGTGGACAAGCCCATCAGAGCGATGGCTGAGCTTTGTGTCAGTGAGGCAGTGAACCTGGGAATCAGTGCAGCTGAGCGGATCAGCCTCTCTCTGCCTCTCTATCTCGAACACACACACTCTCTCTTCCTGTATCTCGCACACTCTCACTCTCCCTCCCTCTCTCTCTCTCTGTCTCTCTCTCTGTCTCTCTCTCTGGCTATCTGGCTCTCTCTGCTTTTCCACAACTTCTGATTATAAATGATTCTTTTTTCACTTCTGAATCTCTCTGTTTTTCAATAGAAAATTCTGAAATATTGAAAGAAGAAATGATTGATTTTCAAGTAAAAATTTATCAAAAAAATAATAATTGGTGAGGCCAGTCAAACAAAGATGCAAAATTAAATAAGTTAAATTCAGCTTGCTTTCATGAGACTTTTTTTTTTACCAAGCTTAGGTTTAGATGAGACTTTTTTTTTTTTTAACCAAGCTTAGGTTTAGATATTTTAACTAAATTTTAATACTTCTTTCTCCAACTCTTCTGTAGATTTTGGCAGGTTTTTTTTTCATTACTTATTTCAGGTATTTTTATACATGACCTGTGTCTTTGACAAACAGCTATTTCTGCTTTGATATACAGTATATTGGCTACTTGTATCAAGTGTTATTTGTTGTTTTTTATATGTAAGATTGAAATGTTTTTTGGCTAAAATTTGCTTTTTTTAAAAAAAATTTTAAATTATTTTAAACAAATTGCATTTTTTTATTGCATCTCACAAGTGTGTGTGTATATACTGTATGTATGTTGTTTTAATCACCTATTTTGAAAACAAACATACTCCATGTTCTGCTCCCTGTCCATGTCCCCGTTTGTCCTGTCCAGTTGGACATGTCATTTCCCCCTGTAGACAGCTGCATCTCTTAAATCAGAGCCTACTGCTGACATTTACGTCACCTCTTTCGCTCTGGCAGGAGCTGAACAGAACCAAATTAGATCTAGACCTGTTGTCGACGGGCCAAATAATGAAGTGCTGCCACTGAAGCCAGCAAACAGCGAAGACGCTTCGAAGAAGCCTTCGTCGGAAACACGCCCCCAGCGTTTCATCATCGTGCACAGAATGCTTCACAGCATGCAAACACATACCGTACACATGCACAAACTCCCTGTAGCATGTTCAGTCGCTGCAGAAACGAAACGTTGACTAGAGTGCGCTCACTGCTTAGGCTCACAGTAGCTTATCGGTCACTCCAAGGGGAAGCGAGAAAACAAACGGACAAAGAAAGAGACGGGGAAAGATTAATGGTTAAATCATCTTTATAATGATGAGTATGACGGAGATAACACTATGACCTTGGGATAAACTGCACTCTCACTGGTGCTTGACCTTCTGTCAGTCCATATTTATTATACTTTCTTTACTGAACTTATCTGGACAATTATTTCCATTATGTCAGTTGCGGTGAAAATATGTGTCACCACTTTATATGCATTGGCATTACTGGTATAAAAACGTGTGAAGATACTGTCCTCAGGCAGTTAATGCACTGACGGCAACGCTTTTATAAGATGATGGTTAATGTGCGGCTGTTGGCATTTTGGAGGGAAATGCAGACACCCACAAATGTCATGATACAAATACGTTTTCTAAAAGGTAGATGGTCGATAAACGTAAGTCCACGTTAGCACATTAGCGTTAGCACTTCAAACCATATATATTTTGCATGAATTAATTGTTCACTAAAATTAAATTAAAGTAAATGTTATTTAATATTTAATAATCCATTTGGAGAAAATAAATTCTGCTGCAAATTTCCATTTAACAACTGACACGTGGTAACATGATTACCTTTCCTGTGAATGAGAAGGAAAACTCAAGCAAAATGACATTTTTCTGTGTTATAGTTAGGTTTTTTTTTTTAATAGACAATCTTGTAAGGCAGGCGTTCCCAAACTTTCCCATGTCATGGTCCCCCCAAACAGCATTATCCTCTGGCTGTGGACCGCTTTTATAAACCCACATAAAATGCTACAAAATATGTAAAGAAAACATCAACTTTTAGAATGTATTTTCTCGCGATTATTCACTATTTAATATGTATTGCATTTATTTAGCGTAAGAAAATGATTAAAGAACAGTTTTTTTACGGTATATTACCACTAAATAATAAACCACCAGATCTACACAAAAAAAAATTATTATAATAATAATGTGATTTTTTTTTTTTGTTGTTGTTGGTTTTTTGCTTATCTTTCCTCAATTTTTCTGAAGCCCCTCTGACACCACCTGGCGGCCCCACTTTGAAAACCACTGTTTTAAGGGACGTCAATTACCTCAACCTTTATTCCTAAGTTTCTTTCTTTATTTTTTTTTCTCGTTTAGAAATAAAATAGTGTACGGACACATTGATTGACAGCTGGGCTCTCGTAGGTGTTTGGATCTTATTTGATGCAGATTTTCATTATTTTCTCCAAAACTGGAAGTGGAATTCTAAAACTTGATGGTTACATAGTTTTCTTAATCAGTCTATAGATTTAAAAAAAACAACAACTTTGAACTCTGTTTATTTCTATTTTTTAATCGGCTTCTGAGTTTAGATATCGGAACAAAGCGCTGCTTTTGTATGTTTGCAGCATCGTGGGGATGTCGAACACTCTTTGCCCTTTCTGCAGTGCGCGGCCTCAGTTGTACTCTGCTCCAAATAGATGTTTACAGTCCGGTCTTTATCAGAATCCCAAATATCGGAAGGCTTTAGTCTGGCCCTCGTCCCTCATCCCTGTCTGGGACTGGACTGATAGAAGCAGAAGGGTGAAATGAGGCTGCGGCTTTGGAGTGGATTTGATGTCTGTTTATGAAAAGCAGCTCGGGGCGAAAAATACCCTCAAGTTTTTAAAATCATACCCGGGATATTAAATGTTCCTTCAGACCGGACAGGCATTAGTGAAATAGGTTTTATTTGGTCTTTGTTCTAAGCTGACTCTCAGGTACCATAATGCCCTCTATAAACAAAAACCCCTGCTCATATTGGAGTCTCTTTTCCCGCTGAGCCAACATTCGTTGGAATCATCTTCTATCAATTTCATATTTTATTCCCTCCTCAGACTATTTCTAAAGCCTGTGTCCGTTAATGGCTCATTTCTTGACGGATGCCGGTTCTCCTTGGTTTTTTTTACACCACGTGTGTTTCCACTGCTGCTGCCCAGCATCTTAAATTAGATGCTCCTCCTGGGTTTTCCATGTGGGTGTAGAAATAGTGGGCTGCTGAAAGGATCTGGCAAAGCTTATGATGGGATAATCTGCACCTGTTTCTCTGGGTAAAAGGCTGTAACTGGCCCCAGCAGCAGTAACATCTGAAGTCTGACTATTGCATAAGCATATTATTGAAGAGCAAAACAGAGTTTCTCACTCGTCATGTTGCCACAGAGAGATGTATTTCCTGTGATTTGATATAAATACATTGCTGTACAGCAGGTTTTCGGTTTACGACGTCCACGACCTACGGCAATTTGTGGTTACGTGCCATCAACCGTACATTTATTGAGAAAGCATCGTTCCATCATTCCGGCGATGCCCACTAGTACGCACAGGGGCTAGTTGGCCAGCAGAGTGACTGAACACGCGATTCTATACGTGGAAGACGGCTTTGTTTGTTGCCTGTTGTACGCCATACATTGGATTGTGCTACATTTGTTTTTGTCCTAAATTTTGATCTTACCACTGTGTTAGCATAAGAGACTGACATAGAGACTGATACTTGTTCAGTATGTCAGTTCCCACTGCGAAAATTGAGTTACATCGCAGCATAGGAAAGGTACTCCGACTTAAGTCAAGCCCTGTAAATGTTCTATTTTTTATGTTTCGTTGACACAGCATTACGCACACATTCACACACAAACAAAGTTGGAACAATGAGCCTCCAAGGTCATGGGTGTTCCCCCAGCGGTCTATGTCTACAAAAGCTCAACTTAGGGTTGTAAAGGAAAGGTCTTCGAAACTGTACATTTTAACGAATATGATTAAAAATGTGTTTTTCATTCTCTCATAAAAACATGGCAACAGACACATTGACAACAAGGACAGCTTCACTGTTAAACTGTGTAACGACTGTTTGTGCTGTCTCTTCCAGCTGTTGGTATCCAGATGAAGCTGGAGTTTTTTCAGAGGAAGTTCTGGACAGCGTGCAGACAGGTGAACATGTCAACAGATGCAAACTCTTTGATAATCCTCTGCGTTCGGATAAACAACAAAACACACACACATTTATTGGCCTTAAATAACCCCTTTGTAATACGCAGTGACCCTGTGTTACACACAAAGGTAGTGTTTTATGAATACGTGGAATGGGTTTATAAATATTTTAACCTAAGGCAATGAATAATTTAGACTGGAACTTTGAAAAAGTCATGGAATGTAACAACACAAAAAAGACTTTATTTGTTATTTATTTTCTCTAGTTTATGTTGGTGTTAAAGTATAAAAATCAATTCACATTGATTGATTTTTGTACTTCACAGTGTGCAGCATTAGACGGGAAATGTTCGATCAGCTGTGATGATGAGGTCAGTCAGATGTTTGATCTTTTTTAACATGATTTCTTTTTTGTCTCTCTGCTACTTTACTCCATAACTTCATGCTGTTTTTGCCCCTACAGGACATCAACTGTTACCTCATCGACAACAATGGCTTCGTTCTAGTAGCAGAGGACTACACTCTGGTGAGACCCTCACACCCTAATAATAACATAAATATATAATGTGCACTTCCATGCTTGTCCAGCACCATAATGTCTTTCTTAGTGCCACTGTGCGACACCAAAATAATGTTGCATATAGCATATGGAGTAAACTACATTGATCTTTTAATTTCACTTCAGTTCCTTGATTTACTTACTCAATGTGTAACCTGAGCGTGTTTAGTTGAACACAAGGCTGATATGCTTTTAGGAATTGAACAGACACACAAAGATCTTCCTCCACAGTCATTCTTTTTTAAGATTCAATAACCATTTGCTGCCACCTAGTGGAATTCTTTAATTATTCTGTCACATAGACAAACGAGACATTATTTGCTGTAAATTAATGGTTTTCAGACCAATGAAGTGAAATTGGATAATTTTCTCCACCTACTCTGAGCAAAATGTATTGATGAAGTATTCAAATTATTTATTATTCAAATTATTTAGAATACAAAACAAATACAAAACTTTTTTTTATTTCTCCAAGGTATAAAAATCCCATTTTTGTGAATGGGTTTTAACATTATGAACAGATTCTTCCTATTTTTGTGCCAATGTTCACAAGTTTACTGTTTAGACCAGGGAGACCTAAATTAAAACAATTTGGTAATGTGGGAATAAGATTCCGTAACGCTACGTTTGTTTGCATAAACATTGTGATTTTGAATAATTCTATAAAATTAAGCGAGGGAAAACAACAACAAAAACCAAGCAAACATACATAAATCCATTTAATTTGCTGTTTCTTTTCCTGTGTAAACTGTTTACTCTGCTCTCATGGAGACATGATGCTGCCTGAACATAAACTCAGCCTAACCGACTGCAGACATGCTGTCACTTTGGTTTTGGCTCATCTGGAACCAGCCCTCACAGCTGTCACTGCTTTTTCCATTCATTTTCATGTCTTCACGTCTTTTTGACTCTGCAACTAAGTTATTATTTCCAAAATGGACATTATTGGGCCCCAGAGGATACTTGAATCCGCAGATCATTTCAACCAACATTAGGTGAAATGCTCGCCTTTGTTCTTATTGTGCAAACATGTTGAATCGTTTTCACATTTTTGTATTGGTTTAATTTTCAAATAAGAAACCATTTTAAGGCAGTTGTGACAGTTTTTTACTTTTTTATTTTATTTTTATTTTTCCATTCAATGAACCTTATTATGGTTGGGCCTGCCATCATGGAGACTTGATGCTGCTCTTCATCTGTCAGCAGATATGCTGTCACTCCAGTTTTGGCTTATCCACAGGCTCCTCCTCTGAGCTGTCGCTGCCCTTCCTGATCCTTCACATGGTTTTTCACGTCACGTGTTAGTTATCCGACAGCCGTTGCCTTTTCCTCAACATCCACTGGCTAAAGGACCAGTCATGTGAAGTGTCATTTGAGGGCAAAAATGATGCATGCACCAGGCTGAAGTCAAAAAGTGTGGTTTATGTAGAATTCTGTTGGCTCACTACCTGCTTCACCGCCTCGTCCAAGGACTGAAAAAGCTCCTTCGGTTTTGGAAAAATAAAGGAATCAGATGGATCTGCAATAAAAAAAAAAAAAACCTGTTGCTTTAGCAGATTTCCATACAAGTTTGGTTACAAATGTGATGTTTGTTGTGACATTTCAGTGAAACTTTTTTCAAGACGAGGCGCGTCCTCAACATGTTTACGGGGTGCGCTTTGCAGCGATAACAACTGTCTTAGAACTTCTTGACTCACAATAGGATTAGATATACAGTAGATACGGCATGTCCAAATCCATGGACGGATTTTATACGCCTCTTAGTCTCTGTCATAAAATTAATCATTTGACCCCCCTTCCAGGGCATGTGCAAAAAATTGAATTTTATGTGTCACCAAAAGATGGCAGCATTGAGGAGCCCTCCTCTGGAGCTGTGCAATGGCCTCAAATTAAACAGTGACATAGAGTTTTATATATTACTTTATTGTTGTTTCAAAAACACTAATGCGCAAACCTGGTGGCCATTCAAGGTAGTACAGGTTCAACCAGGAGACTGCTTACCATTTTTGTTACCGAAATTGGATTTAGAGTTAAGATGATTTGGTCTGAGGAGCTGTTGACATTTGACTCACTTTTATCTGTGTCATCTGTTTTAAGTTTTCAGAATATCACATTTTATTAGGACGTTTTATATTAAATCAAATCTTGGTTTCCTTTTCTCACAGACAGGGAAGTTTTTTGGAGACGCGGAGGGAGCTGTGATGAGTAAACTCCTGCAGATGGGCTCCTTCAAGAGGTAAAATATTTCAAACTCTGTGTCATTGCGCCGTACAGGCGCGCGTGTGTAAGTGAATTATAGATGGGCCGCCCGTTGAATGAGAGCCCGTCTCCTGGTGTTGACAGCTCCTAACGTGACCAATCTTGTTGAGATATTCAGCCTTGAACTCTGACCTTGTGGCTCGGCACAGTTCTCCATCCTTGGATTACGGCAAATCTTTTTCCTCCAATGAAGGAATTAAGACAAATCCTGGAGTTTCTTACACACACGCATGCTCTACCACACACACCTGCATGTGGACGTGTTCATGAGGCAGCAGCTCGTTGTTAGGCTGGAAAAGGCTCAAAGCAGCAGCTGGTGATAATGCACTAATGTGGAAGTTAAGTGGCAGATTTATCATTATTTATCAGCAGGATGTGACTCCCATTTGTAGGGGTAAGTGTGATTTAAGAAAGACCATTGCCTGATGAAGAACAGTAGTTCATAGAGAACACAGTCCTGCTGCCCAGGAGCAGGACTGTGTTCACTATGAACTACTGTTCTTCAAGGTGATGTTTCTGTCACATTTCTCAGGAATGAGAAACAGTACAGTTGCATTTTCCAACTCCAAGGACCTACCTAAAATAAAATGTAAATGTGTATGGAATTCTATAGTTTGTAGTTTGGACCATATACTGTAAGAATTCAATCATTTTTGTCTCACTGACCTCAATGCCATGCCAACATATAACCTATATATATATAGTTGAGAGTCCTGTCAATTCTGCCCCAGAACACTTTGGTGGTTCGGGTCCTCTGAAGGAGAAAGATAGGCCGGCCTCCATCAAAGGTAAATTGCATCTGTTGCCATCTGGTGGCATCAACTGGAAAAGCAGTTGTTGCACAGCATTGCAGAAAAAAGAACAAATTGAAATATTTTATCATGAACTTCAATCATTAACTTTGTATCAATGTTTGACGAGGAAGCCCAACGGTCCAACGCCTGCAGGCCTAAATTTTGCCCAGGAGCGGTTTGAAGCCGTTTGAAAAACAAATTCTCTAAATTCAGAGAAGGGATTTGATTTACATGTTGAGCACAAACATTTCCTTGAAAAAATAAAAGTAGATTTGACATTGCAAACTTTTTCACTCTCATAAATGGGTGCTTTAAAAGTTTCATAATCATTTTTCATTGGACTCACAGATTGAGGTCGTTAAAGGCCATGATTGCCCTTCAAAAAGATTAATTAACAAAGAATTCGATGAAACAATGACATTGTTAAAAAGAAATATGAGATTTCTTAACAGAATTGATTACATGTCGTTCGAACGTTGAGTAAAAACCCCTGCTGTATGAAAAGCTTTTCAACAATTTCACTTCATTAACACTGAGAGCTGATTACTGTAATAATAGTTAGTGATTCCCAACTATTGTGCCATGGCAAGAACCACTGCCCTGAGAGTTCATCTAGTGCCGTGGAAAATTATAGTTTTTCCCAAATTGTCTGAAAATTTTTATTTAATTGCTTCAAATAATTTGTCTTTTTTCATATATGTGACAGTGATGGCCAGATTGATAATATACTCGTCCACTCGTCCAATTTATAAAAGAGAGAAACAGAGAGAGTTGTAAGCATGTCTTTCTTCAATTCCTGTGAGTATAGACATGTACTCACAGGACTAAGTAAACAATTATAATTTTTGTGCCACGTTTAAAAAGATGTTGGTTATAACTGGTTATAATAGATGGTCACTTTGACTCAAAAATATATATCTATAATTTTGTTTTCACTATTTAAAAAAAAAAATACTTGTCAACTTTGCCACAAATGTTCACTTGGAGCTTTGGTTCTGGTTTGAAAAGTCATTTGCACGACACTTATCTCGGCAGTTTTACTTTTGAATTAAACGTCTTTTTTTTTTAGATCACAGATCAACGTAACTATTTTTATCCAGTCACTCAGACATGTGTGTTATAATTACACACTCTTTTGGCTTTTGATAAAAGCCCCGGAAGGATGTAAAGTCTGTACATGAGTGGTTGGTGGAGTCATCTCACCACAAGGCAGTAAATACATCTTCCCATGTCAGCTCAGTCTGTAATAATCACCAGTGACAAATCATCATTAGAGGCGCCACGCCTGCTTATCATATGGATGAAGCGCATGAGAGCGCACAGCACATGGTTTAAGGCTCGAGTCGCAGAAAGACAATAAGACAATAACAAGAATCCTGAAGCAAAAGAGTTTGGCTTTTCTTTGTTCTACCGACATCTTTAACGAGACAACAAGAGGGATTACTGGGTATCGGGTTTGACGTTCGACGAATGACTAATATCGCATTGAGTTAGTGGAGTATTAGCGGGATGAGTAATAGCAGCTAATGCACTAGTTCAAGTCCATCTGTGGGAAATGAAACAGACATAGTTTCTGTCTTGATTATTAACATAAAAAAACATTAAAGCTGTCTTCAGACAGTTTTTAAAGCCTGTCATTCACAGCTGGCACAAGTGGGACGGCTTGAATTTATTCATCACGTAGGCTGAAGACGAAAACAAATGTTTTCAATTTATCCTCAGAGAGAGTTTTTGGATTATAAGAATTAAAAGGGAAATAACGGACTGAACATGCAAAAAAAAATGGACAGAAAAGATCCAGGGGCTTTGGGACTGAGTAGTAAATGAAGGAAAATTAGACTTGAGTTATACAGGATTAGGATTATGTTTATTCTCAGCATAGTAGTAAATTGAAGGGGGTACAGTTTTGGATATTTTCCACAATAATGTATTAACATTTATATATATATTTGAATTATTTCTACAGCTATGGCTAGTCCTCCTCCATATATTTTATGGCTATGGCTATGGCTAGTCCTCCTCCATATATTTCTATTGAACATTTTAATATTTTTCCCCTGCCACAGTTTAGGTTTCGTTTATTTGCTGTTTACTTTTTTTTTCTTGGCAACCCATTTGTCCTTCCTGGGCTAACTTCTATTTATATTAAATTTTATTGTCATAGAAATTTGCCTATTTTAAGGTATGCTGTTGGCTCTTTGGCTATTTTTCGTCTTCTTTTTTCATTATAAACATTTTAAGCAACAATGCGCTCTTTGAGAACTTCCAGTAATGTGTTAAGCTTACCGTCAATGATGCTTGAAATACTCCTTTGGCTAACAAATCTGTCGGATGATAAAACCTCCAGAATAAATAGTTTTATAAAATATTTGAGTAAGAAATGTGCACACACTGGTTTATCTGATTTTATCTATTATGATTTATTGTGGTCCTAAAATAAATCTCATATAGTCCAAAGATTTAATAAACTCCACCAAAGATGGAATGGAAAGCTGTAAACAATGGATGTATTCATTTGTAGACCTCATGGATTGATCTTTTGGGGGGTAAGTTTAAGAAAAAAATCCCCCGGGGGTCTCCATATATTTTGAGGAAGAATTCACTGTCAGCTTCGTACTGTTTCTTTGCACAGCTACGTCACCAGTGTTTTCATTGTCAGTGCCTCATGCAACTCCACATACCTAGTATTTAAAATCCACTAATCCTTGTGTACAGGATACAGCCATGACACAATGGCCTGAATAATCCCTGCTAGGCCCCGTGCCACAGACAGGATGCCAAAAACATCATGGGTTCACAATGTTCATCATTCCCAAACAGGACATTGCTAGATGAGGTTGCGTTACAGTGAATAGGGTTAGTTTCACAGAAGGTTTAATTCGGAGAGAAGGAGGTTCAATAATGGGCCCCTCCTGGTCCCTGTTG